ACAGACAGGGTCGTCCCAATATGCGTTTTTGCAATTTGCATATAGGCAAAAACGCATAAAAACAACACCCACTGACAAAATTTCAGCATCGAAGCTTGCTTGGTTGCCAAACTGAAATACTTGTACAGACACAAATAGAAAGACAGACAGACACACACACACACACCATGGGTTTTCGCAATATGCGTTTTTACATTTGCACATATGCAAAAACACATAAAATTTGTCATGGCCAACAACATGCTCATTCTTCAGCAAAGCCAACATACATGCTCATTCTTCAACTTTTTATTCGCCTTTACGTTTAACGTCTTCATGCCCTTCTACATTACTGGTGTACCAAAATGTAATTATGGCGGCTCTCTCTTTTCATGTTTGTGTACTTGTTCCTCTTTCTGTCTATCCAATTGTGGAAGTTACGGAAGTTAAATTTTGGTCACAAAGTTTTCAGCAATTTAAGAGACTAAAAATTGAAGTAGTAAAGCAGATCAGGCCAAAACTAACCGCTTTAGTTCTTTACCGCGCGCGCCATTCAGTGAAAATCGAATATGTTGTCTGCTTAAGTTTTTGAGGTCCATTTTGCTTTTTTTGTCAATTTAGGACCTCCGAGCTAGCTTCTACGTTCTTTTGATTCAGCTTTTTAGCTTCGTTTCTTCTTTCTGCTTCTTCCTTGAGATGAACTGAGCATCTGGAGATTCAATTTTATCACGTCTTACTTGATTCATTTGAGTCCCGTGGAAGTGCTTCATGTTGTATCTGCCCCCTCATCCCTATGTCTCTTTTCCTTCAGCACCTCCTGATCCCTAAACTCCTTTTTTAACATAACTGATGTACGTATGCACTTGTAAGAAATTATGATTGTATATTTGGTGCATACATTTCGCACAGATTCCTCTATAATTTCATGACACTTCATAAGTTTGTGCAACTAAAAAAGTTGAGAAGAAATCTGCCGTAGTGATGCGAAAGCAACGGTGTACAGAGATCGGAGCAATTGCGACTTAGTCTGCAGAACATTTGAATTTTGGAATAACTATTAAATCAATAAAGATTGCCTTTCCGATAATTTTTTGTGAACGCACTTGTGTTAGTTTGCATGCGTAGTATTGCTGAGGGATATCTTGTGTGCACTAGTGTGGTCATAGAGGGGCCACTGGCATGCGTCCGTCTTTTCAATAAGCTATAACAATTTGCCATTTTTGTAAAAATTATTCGTATTTAAACATGTTTATTTATTGATTATAACCTTTATCACATTTCACGAACAACACCATTCAACATCCCGATCTAGTTTTTCGATCGATTAGGACAAACCGTTAGGCGGCACTGAGCCAAACACTGCAACCTTTTGCACTGGAAATGCCCGAAACGAATTATGCCGAAGTAATCAGAAATGCAAATACGAGCTAACACGTACTAATGGATATGCAGCGTCATATTGTATATGCTTTATATGACTACCCTCGAAACGGTCCTCCGTAAGCTGGACTCGAGAGCTGATTAAAAGTTGAGGAACATCTCAGTAGCTGTTCGAGAAAGACGTAGTATTCGTTACGAATAGAATACATGAAATACTGCAGAAGTCCAATGGTCAAAGCAAAAAAATAGACCTGGAAACCAAAATTTCAAAAACGAAAATGGTTCGAAGTGCTGGTATGCTATCGGCTGGATTGCAAATAGGCGGCTTAACTTAAGTAAAGTTAATGTTTACGCTTGTTTCAGCGAAAAGATAAAACATATCACATTTTTCCGGACATTGCACGTTGAAGGCTATTGGTCCGAGCAAAAATTTTACGTATTACTGGTCTCTTCAGTGTGTCAATTCGGGAGGATTGGGCCCAACTTTTCCACCATTCAAAAAACAATGATGTGCCGATACAAGGCATGACCGCAAATGGAGAGAGCAAGCATTGACTGTAACGAAAAGCAATGGAGCGAAGCGTTCTTAAAGTGTTCCCTCAGTTGCCCTGTCAGACGAAAGAAGTGTAGGATATTATTGATACCACGAACGAAGGAAAAACCAGTGCGCGTAAGATGTCAATTGTTCCGCTGAAATTGCTAAATGTCGCCTATCAAGAAGCGTTTTGGGCGAGAAAGAAGATAGTCACTCAAGTGACCCTCAAAGAAGTAACGTACATAAATCGAGCAGGCGGTGGGTACTAACTGGAGGTACGCCTGGCATAACTGCGCCCGGCATGTGGGAGCATCCCAGTCATTTCACTAAGAACTTCCACACCTGTGTCTGGACGAGTTTGATAAGATTGATAGAGCTTGTTCTAATCGCAGCTCTTGTGCATTCGTCAGCCAGAGAACGCATTTCGAAAGCTGTCGTTTAGAAGAAGTTTTGCAGCATCACCGGTATCCACAGAGTATCGAACGGGAAAAATGTGCTCACTTCCTTAAAAGTGTCGTGTTGAAAAGAGTGACGCACGGATACAAAGCAAACACTGACAAAAGCAGAGGATCAAACGCAGGCTGTGATAAAACTACGCTGGAGCGAAGTGTGATAATATGAAATAAAGGAACATTTTGCTGCAATAACAATGGAAGATATTACGTTTTGCAGACAGAGATATTACGTTTTGCAGACAGACATCGCAAATTAGTGGGTAAAAATCGCTAGAATGAAAATAATCGTTTAGGTTTCTTTCGAATGGTTAGCGTATTTGTTTGATAGAGGACCCATAGGCGTGCTGTTGAGGCTGGATGACCTCGTGTAACTGCAGTAAGCAAATAAGCGTATTCCACTAACGTCAGTGTATCTCCAAACAGTGCTCACAATAATGATGAAAGTGTTGCAAAATACCTTTTTGCACAAAGCAAAGAAGTAAGTCTGAAAAGCGGCTCACTGGAAAAAATACGTAGTGTAGGTTGATTGGGATTACCGATCACCTCCTGTCAGTTCTTTCGTCCCTTCTTCATTATCATTACTAGTAGTTCTTTTATCATCATAGTGTTAATTACCGACTGAAAAGCATTTTGACAGCATTACATTTCTGAAACTGATGAAACGGCACTCACTGCGGGTTTGTCAAAAGTTTCCTTCTTGGAAGATCTTGACTGAATTACTACTAATAGTACAGTGTGCATGCTCACTTTATTGCAGTTTCAGGCGTAAATACGGTAATTTCTACAGCGACCCTCTTACCTGCGCCACCACCATTGCAAACACCGTCATTTTCCCCTGGTTGTGCATCTGCCTCCTCCCCCAACCTTCTTCAGCTACCGATTCGTTTCAAGCGCCGAATGAGCTCGTGGATTCTGAGCAATCGAGACGAAGGTTTTCAATCGATCCAGACTTCTGTCCTTCATCGCATTTCCTTTGACCTTGGCTCTTCAAAAGCTTTCACTTTTTGTGCTTCATTTGCTTTAGCACGCTGCATGCTACCGTGCACTCAAACTGCACTCTTCGTCCACTATTGAGATTGCAGAGCGCGTCGGAGGGAGGCGAGGAGCGCTCAGTTTTGCTTCATTGCGCTGGTTACACTAAAACCGTTTGGGCAAGATTTAAAAAAAAGGAAGTTGTGTGAAGTAGAGAGAGTTTAGCTGCATATGGATAGAAATGCATGATTTGGAAATAACGTGGAAAGCATATTCAATAATAGTGTAAATCAATTAAGTCGCTAAATATTAACTCGTTAAATATAAAGTTTCTGTTTCGAGAATGAATAGCTGCAACAGGAACAACAGTTGAACTGAGGAAAATACGAAACTGTGACTTTTCATTACCATTCTATCTAGATATACCATAAGTGTAGAAGGCATTGAAGTGTAAGGAAAATCCAAGACATAGCGGTACCAAAGTCTAGAGCTAGCTAGCAGAATGCGTGTTTGTGTTTTATCCTGAAAGCACTGCGAGCATGGGCTGATCGATTCGTTTAGGATGAGCACTTATCAAAACAGTCCCTCAAGCCACCATTTGCGTACAGATGCATGTGGGTAAGAGAGGCGTGCGACGGATGAAGAAAGAGGCGCAGAAAGGCGACATTTACTAAAATACTTTAGTCTTAAAGAACGTATTTGAAGCAGCAGGGGAAATAAACTAATTGGTTAAAATTGCCAATATGGAAATATTGCAATCTACTAGAGAGGCCTGTGAGAGAAGAAAAAGACCGGGTTCCTTCATCTGTATAAAAAAATTTGTTCATTAGAATATGATATCTCGTACTGGAGACTCAGAAATTATTATACTTCTTTGCGGATTTAATAAATCCTTTGATATATCAGGTAAACTGTTGGTAGGAAGCAAATTCGCATGTAAAGAAACAGCTGAGCAGTAACATTCCATTACTGATAATTGGGTCCATTTCCAGTCGTGATAATAACTTGCCTGGTTAGCCATGACCGCCTGGGCCCAGTACATCAGAGTTGACATGGGCCTTCTGCACGGGAAATGAGATTCAGGAAGCAGAATCCCGCGAAAAAAGCTAGATAAGCTTTGTGGAAAGCAAAAGTTGGGTCCAAAGTGACTTAGTCATTCCGAAGGAAGACGGAATTATGTCAAAAATTGTGAGGGCCATCACTTTGGCTGAAGAGTGTAAAATTTGGGTTTGCTTTCCTTTCTGTCCTTTTTGAGCTTTCCATTTGTACTCCACTGCTTGCATCATTTATTTGAATTCGTTCGGATATTCTATGTTTCTTGCACTAACCCTTTTTCCATGGCTACATATAAACGTCGCATATTTTAGTGTCTTTTCTTGTTTCTGCAGATCCCGAGGAGCAGCGGATGTCAGGACCGATTTTAACAAAAGAAGAGCTTGAAATTGCTGAGCTTGGTAAGCCTCGCCTAGGAACATTCAAGCGGTGTCAAATTACGATTAAAGAAAGCAAAGAATTTCAGGTTACGATTGTTTTCTTTTGATCGTTTCTGTGCAATTTATCGATGTGAACATTGTACCAGAGCTGACAGAGTCCTCCTCTCTCTGTGCCTTGCTCTTACCACCCGGTGCAGTTATCCATGCTTATAGCGGCTCAAGGGTCGTGTGAGTCTACTTGCGCCAGTTTGGGTGCTTGGTTTACGGATAGTGCTGGGTGAATATCCTAAAATCTGCTCTCATACTTTACTATAGTCTTACGTATGATTTTTCTCCTGGCTTACAAAACCATGTGCGCACATTTTCCACAGGCACGTCAGCGTGATCTCTCTATGCAGCTTTACACCGCCGGCCTTTTTTTATGGCTGGATTGGTAAGTATTCGTTTCTGAAATTTTAAGATTAATTGCTCCTGTTGATTCGCGAGAAGACAACGATGAGGTTGGAGCTGCAACGGTTTTAGCTGTTCAATAGCCATCCCGAACTACGCCTTCTTCGTTCAAAATTTTTTGACGAAAGTAGGCTGAAGATAGTTTGAGTCTAAACATACTATAGCGGTTGTGAAATGTTGTGTTGGGGATTAGTACTGCCAAAAGAAGCAGTCTGCCGGGTGGCGAGTTGCACAGCTCTATTCTCTTCTCTCTCTACATCTACTTTTTCATGCGTTTTGTGCTGTGTAACAGCGTTACAAAATGCATAATGTCACGGGGTTGTCTGTGTGTCTCACATTTCGTCCCGCACTTTCAACTCGGGAAGCACAAAAGCTAGGCGGCTAAAATTTTGGTATAGTGTTCCCCGCCAACGGGTGACGCGACAATTTTAAATTCAGCCTTCCTGTACCCACGGATAGCAAGTACGGCCCCGTGAGAGTTTTTTACGGGTAAATTAATATCTCAGGAACCACAGAGTCTAGGAGGCTGAAATTTTAGGGTAA